GGGACCTCCAAAGCGGAGCCTGTCCCCCCTGCACCCCTACAGTATGGCTGCACCCCGGGGGGACCCCATTTCTGTGGCTCCCACTAAGGTCTGGGTGCAGGATCAGCACCCCCAGCCCGGGGCCGACCCTCCGGCGTGGGGCTGAGGAACCTCGGATAATGCTCGCCACAAGTGGGGCACCAGCTAAGCCCCTCCGGGGCCAGACACTGCCACGCCAGACATCTCAGACCCATCTGAAAGTGCAGTGCGGGGAGGAGTCGTCCCCCTAAAACGGGGCTCCCCCCCTAAAATATCCCCCAAGAGTCTCCATTCCCAGGAGCTTGCGGTGCTTTTAGTTCCTTACTTGCCCTCACATTAAAAATTCATAAATGAAAATTTATGAAGCAAATTTGAAATCAAAAGGCCCAGGACCCACTTGGATCTGACCAGTTTGCTGCGTTTTACTGGAAAGTATGAATTATTTAAGGGTGAGCACGCAGGGAGGCTGGAGGCAGGGGGGAAGACGAAGCCTCCATTATTCCTCCATGATTTAATGAAGATGTCCCAATAAAATAAAGGAAGATTATAAAAACAACCCGCCCAGCACCTCTTGGAGATGCGGCATCGATCTCTCATGGCCATTTCAGCTCTTTTAACTGCTGGAGAGGCAAAGCAAGGCCCGGGAAAGTTTTTAAGGGCAATAAAACCCACCTCCTGCCTCCCCCAAGTGACATGAAACCGGGCTGTACTGGTCTGTAGGCAGCCTTGTGCTCGTTTAACTGGGAGGTGAATACCACTCAGCTTGCAGCAGGGTGAAGGCTGCTCTGAGGATGGCTGCACACCCTCCAAGGATGTTGGAGGCACTTTGGCCACACTTAGCCCAGGGTTCAACTGGCGAGATGCTGGTTGAGGAATGGTGGCAAGGAGAATGTCATCCCACCCTTGGGTCCTTGCTTGGTCCCCACTGCGGTCCCCCAGGTCCCCTGCTCACCGGGACTGCAGATGCTCCAGCTGCACCTGGAAGCTCTCACTCTGCTCCGTCTGCTCGTCCAGCGACCGTTGCAGCTTTCGTGTCTGGTTGTGGGCCTCATCCAGCTGCGGGACGGGATGGGATGGGGCTGTCGGCAGCCGCAGAGGGAGCAGAGCTGCCCACCCCAACCCTCTCCACCAGCACAAGCTTCCCCACCTCGTCCTCAGCTTGGGCCAGCTCCTTCTTCAGCTCCTCCACCCTCAGGCGCAGCTTCTTCACCTCGCCCTCATGCTGCTCCACGCGGCGGTTGGCGTGGGCAAGCTCAGCCATCTTCTCCTGGTACTGCTTTTTCAGCTTGGCGTGGATGTGTTTCAGGTCGGCCAGCTCCTGCAGTGGACATGGGGTGGGGGGCTGAGTGGGTGAGAGCCACTCCCATGAGTGGCTCCCATGAGAGCCACTCCCAAGAGCAGTTAAAGAGCTGCTCCCTTCGCCCTCCCCAGGGACCTCTCCCACCACCCCACCCCATGATGGAGGAGCTGATGGAGCAAGGACAGGGTCACCACCATCCCCTAGATGAAGGGCGGTGGCAGTCTGGGCTTGAGTTGGTCCTGGGGAGTGCTGAGCCACCACTGAAGTGACAGGGTTACCCAGGGAGGGGGTGGCAGGGGACAGAACCATCCCTATGGCAGCACCTTGTTCTTCTCGAAGAGCTCGGCCTGGATGGTTTTGAGGTCGGTGTCCAGGGCACTGGCCGTCTGGCGCCGCTTGCGAGCCAGCACCTCCTCCAGGTCCTCTATCTGTGCCCGCAGCTTCTTGTTCTCCCGTTCCAGGTTGAGCTTCTCCGTCTCCAGCCGCTCCCTCCGGCCCCACTCAGCTGCGTTCTCCGCCTGCAGCCGCTCCATCTGGGATAGGGACATACGGTGGCCGGGAGGGAGCAGGGACTCCCCTCGCTATTCCCTTGGCCCCCAGCATTTGGGTTTGGCCTCACCTCTGCGCGGAGCTCAGCCAGCTTCTTGTCCATGCTGGAGCGAGCGCCCAGCTCATCCTCCAGGTCCTCGGAGATGCGCCCCAGCTCATCCTGGTGGATCTCCTTCAAGATGTTGAGCTGCAGGGTGGGACACAGTATGCAAGGTGGGCAGTGAGCACCCACCCTGCACCACCTGAGCCCTGCCTGCACCCAACCTCTGTAGACAGACCAACTGGCTTAATATAACTAATTAAGACCCTTGAGCACCCTGGAGTTGGGGGGTGTGTCTGTGGGTCACCATGTCTACCCACCAGGACATGCCACCCACTAGGGGACAGGCCACCTCCTGGGGCACCTCACTTACCTGCTTCATCACCTCCTGCTTATTCTTGTTGAGCTCCTCATACTTGATCTTCCACTGGCTGAGCTCGCCCTCCAGCTTCTCGATGCTCTTGCTGAGCGCCAGCTTGTCCCTGGGGAAAGGCAACGCTGGTGACAATCTGGCAGGACTCCATGGGACACCCCCTCCTGGTGGGGACTGGGCTGGGCTGGCACCCCACGAGGATGACACCCTGAGCACTCACTCCCTCTCCTTGAGCAGCACTTTTTGGGACTCATCCAGCCTCAGCTTCAGGGCGGTGACTTTGGTGGCATCCTCCTCCATGACGCTGACGTCCTCCCAGAGCAGGCGGCTCCGTTCCTGGCGGGCGAAGGAGGCCCGGGGCCCCCGCTGCTCCCAGCTCTCGTCCTGCTTGCTTGTCAAGATGTTTTCCATCAGCTCCAGCTCCTGCGGCGCCGTGGGTGGCCCGGCACAGGGGACAGGGAATCACCCATGGGTGAGAGAGCAGCCCTGGCTTCCCACCCCCTCCAGCACCCAGCCTTCACCCCATAACCAAGAGTATCCCTCCAGACAGACCCAGCAGCATCTCTCCCTCCAGTCCCCAGGGACCCCCTGAGGCTGATAGAGAGGGCCTCATCTTCCCAGGGGAGGTCCCATACACCACCGGGCTCTGCTGCCGCCTCCCCACCTCGCTGGAAATTTTGGGTGAGATAATAGCGATTTATTACAACGACCTCTCCACGACTGCCACGTGGGCAATCTTCTACCAGGCTCCACGAGTGCACAGTAAATGAGCTGCAAGGGGTTTTCTGGGGACGGGTTGTCCCCGGGGACCAAGTGGGAGCCCGCAGGAGACACCCAGATTAGGCTCAGATTTGCCGCTCGGTAGCCATGCCGTCAGGTGGACTGAACCGGCACGGCGCGGCACGCCGAGCGGTGACTTCTGCGTCATGACAGAGCCAACGGCAGCAGAGAAGGGACAGCTGGAGGAGCTGGGAGCATCCCTGGGGTGGCTCTGGTGTCCCCTCCTTCCTCCTTCCTTCAGAACAGACCTCTGCCAGAAGCCCACACGGACACCCTGGCATTTCAGCCATGGCTGGGAGATGCCACCGGCACTGCCAAAGCCACTGTCCCCTGTACCGGCACGCTGACTTTTTCCTAATGCCTCCAAAGGGTAAGACCCAAAAAAGGGACCAGAGCCAGTGCTGAGGTGACCTTTCTGCAAGGGGCTATGGGGGTCTTGGACCCCAACATGCCGCTCTGAGAGGGGTCTGACCCCCAAAGCTGCTCCAAGGAGTCTGTGTGACCCCATCACACTGCTCTGAGGGGTCTGAACCCCCCGTGCTGCTCTGAGAGGAGTCTAAACCCACCATGTTCCTCAAAGAGGGGTCTGACTCCCCCTCTGTTCTGCTCTGAGAGGGGTCTGACCCCCCCAGCCAGCTCCAAGAGGGGTCTGTCCCCCACCACTGCACACCTCTGTGGGGCAGGGAGTGACCCTGCTGGTGGCTGCCAGGAGTGAGGACCCCCACACAGCCTCCCCCCTCCCCCCCACCTTGGCTTTTTGAGGCGCCTCGGTCCCCACATCCCGCACAGGTTCCCGCTCGGGGTCGGCCTCTCCCTCTGCCCCATCAGTGTCGGGCGGGCTG